AAAGCTGCAGTATCCCAGGCCATCTGCCCCTTCCTTATCAGTTGGAATGCACTGTCATGTTGCTACGAAGCCTCCATGGCCTCTTTCAGCTGCTGACCACGGGCGGTACGCTTACGTACTGTCCTCAAGCAGGCGAGTTTGCTACGGCCCTTAGTACTGCAGCGCGGGAGGACAATGGACACATTATCTCGCTTGCTGCTGGTCTTGCCCTAGCCCTCAAATCGGGTAATCTACACTTGCGGTGGCAGGGGTGTTTGGAGCCGGCAAAACTAGGTCCCTTACCTTTTTGCTTGCCTGGTTGGCTCTCACTACCCACTTCAAAATAGCTGTAGTTCATAAAGAGAACCCGGCGGGGAGGGCCATCACCAAACTCCTCACTGCCTTCGAGCTCAAACCGGACCACCGTAGCTACTTCATACGGCCGGTGGGACGAGAAGAAGCAGAAACCAATGCAGCCTCCACACCTTATGACATGCGAGCCAGTGAAGCAGCCCCATTCATCCCAGGCTGCCGTGTCGTCATCGCCACCACGCGGCTTGTCTGGGATCAGCTAGGCCAGGCTCATTCGACCCTTAACGCACACACATGGAAAATGTTGACCTCCTCATCAGTGAAGAGGCGCAGCAGGACATGGATCTGAAGTCTGCTTTCGCACCAGCTGTTCCTCGCCAGGCCTTCTTTCGGATACTACTGGGAGACCCCCAACAAAGCCCAGGAGGAGTGGCAGACGGGCAACGAGCCCATCGCACGCTCCTACTCAAAAAAGCCCCTATTAGACTTCGAGCCCCACACACGTGGTTTATGCCGCACGAATTCCCAAGTGTGTTCCATGCACTCCTGCAACATGGCCGAGGGTTCGGACACTCAGACTTAGAAGCGGACGCGGAGGCAGTCAGCCGTCGACCCCTAGGGCAACCCTGGTTTTACCCTGGCAAAATCAAAGCCACTTCCTCTTTCGCCCGCGAACTTCAGTCCACATATGGTGACCTCAACAAGGTAGATTTAGCACTACCAGAAGGGCTTCTGGTTGGACTCGGATATGCGGCTACCAGCCCTGACAGTCCACTTGACTTTCGTCAAGCGCAGAGTGCAGCCGAGCGGTCGGGAGTTGCTGATCCACACTGCTGGAGTCTCATGCTGCCGACAAGTGCACGCGTCGCACAAGAGGTCTATGAACCGCTCATCGGAATCCAGTACCCAATGCTGTGCAGCCGGTTGGGTGATGAATGGCAGATTTGCACAACCTCCATACGCGAAGATCACTTGATTGCCTCAGGCCTTCGATTTGTCCAGTGGTATCATGCCTCTGCCAATGTGGATGCGCGCAACAATCCCAAAAAATAGCCCTACTGTACAAGTCTACCAGCATTTGGAAGATGAGTTGATCAAGGCAGAAGCAGGCAATGAGGGCATATTGGCCCTCACCGCTACCCGGGAAGGTGCCACCAACCTGAGGAATTATTTCGAAGTTGTTGGGACCAAGACCAACGCAGAAACGGCTGTCAAAGTAGCAGGTGCCACTGCCAGGCACTCCATCATTATACACGGGGAATCCACCTTTCTCAGTGGAGGAGGACGGAACCTGGATTATGATCTGGAGTGTTTCACTCGAGCAAACGTTGCATACAGTCGCGCCACCAACCTCACCATTCTGGCCTGCCCACTCAATATGCAAGGTACGCCGGGGGCCCTGCAGGTGCTGGCAGCCCTCTTGCATGGCATCCAAACAGTATACACCTATGAGGATAGAGAGCCAACAATTCGAGGCTCCCTTGACCTCACCCCGGTACAGGTTGCGCACGCTACTGCCACTTTTCGGCAGATACTATCGCCACCTGAATTGTGGACTGGCATTCTCCCAGTCTGCTTAGCAGAGCACCACGAGGGCAAGGTGAGACGCTTACGTCTTGTCTTAGCCACCTTGTCGCATTTGACAAAAGCAGAAAGATCTAATCTGCCAGATGGGCTATGCCTCCCTGGAGGCACAGCTGAGCACGGGCTGGTGTACGGTTATGCGCTGGATGCCTCGTCAAGGCCTGAGTGGCTAGTCATACAGGACGGACAGCAAACCGGCCAATGGCGGCTCTTGCACAACCACACTGGTCAGGGCCAGCGATGTAGTGTCGGATATGCCCAGCGCTATCAACCGAAACCCAGCACTGCTGAGCAACGCAAGGCACTTGCCTACACCTTCGAAGCCCTGCATCGGATCTACTTTTACCACGCGTGGAGGCCACAACCAGTGCTTGACGCGCCGGGCTCGGAGCTTGCCTTGCCGCCTACACCAGGTCTTATGGTCCAAGGTTGCTACTGGCCGTCTACCAACACGCTGGGCGAAACGCTCTCCATCTCTGATACCGAAACGGAGACAGCCGACCCACAATGCCAGCACTCAGCCTCACCCGAGGTGGCGGACGCTGCCATGGAGGAGGAAGATGCAAGCGAACTTGTCTCGGTTCATAGCTCCCCCTCTGCTCCATCCACCTTGCCTAGTTCGGTTAACCCTGAAGAAGTGGACCCTCAAATGGAAGACGAAACCAGTGATGCCACTTCGTCCGAGGAAGAGGGTGATTGCCTTAGCAATTGCCCTGCCTCCTCCAACATGCGATCGCCTCACCCTGGCAGTATTAGCTTCACTCCAGGCCGGTTCGGAAGTAGTTTGTGTAGGGAAAAAGTGTCTGGTGTAGTGTTCACTTGCCGAACACTGTTACCCAGTCAACTCTCTCGATTCGAGAGATTGTCTGGCGGCGATGGCAATATTTAGTTTGAGAAGTGTCGAGAACAGACGCGTTTTCGATTTTGTGGAGTGTACCGGTGTCATAGTCAGTTGACTGCTCAGACCGATGCTGAAATTTATATAGGAAAGACTTGTTGACCCAGAAGCAAGTCAGGGGCTTCCCCCAGACCAATGGCTGTTGATAAACACACACATGGTCAAGTGGCGTTAAATCAGCTAACAAAACTTTAAAACAATATGTTTTGGTGTTTTTGACGTGGTGATATTGAGATTTGTCATTTGACAAGATGGGAAAGCAAAAGCAGTGTTGTTCAAAAGAACAGTGTTACGGATCTCATACAAAACTTATAGACAGATGTATTTCAGTTCGTTTTTAAGTGTCTATTTTTTAAAGTTGAAGGCCACCAACTCAGCCGACGTAGTTTTGTTGTGTCGTGGCCGAACTCGGCTGCGTGGCTTGTATACCAAACAGCTTTCATGCTAGATGTCGCTTCGCGCATCGAAGCATTTGTTTTCGTGTTTGCTGTTTTGCTTTCTTCTCCTGTTTGCATACAGTAAAGACCAACGCGTTTCATTCTCGCGTCCGTTCCCTCTCAAGTCTGCAGCTGAAAGGATGCTGTGAATCTGTGTTTTTTCTGTGATTCAGTTTTCAAGTCGTTTCTCAGTTTGCTGCAGCTGTTTACACATGGCAGGCATGACTGTGGCGCAGGTAAGGTAGGTACGCAGACAGAACTCGTGTTTATCAGAGTTGCGATCAATCGTGCCTGCCCAGGTAAGGTAGGTGTGCAAACATAAGTTGTGTTTATCAGGGTTGTGATCAATCGTGCCTGCCTCCTCCCACAACTACCACAGTTACCAGTTCACCCAATGGTTTTGCAGCAGATTTCAAGCGCGTCTCGTTTCTCCACATGCGGCGCTCCTCTGAATGGTTGATAGTGTTGCTCCTGGCCACCACGTGGCTGTGTTTTTGCGTTCGTACCCGGATGGTTCCAGGCAAAGTCAAGAGAATGTGTGCTTGAAAGATTTGCCAGCCAGCACAAAAGCTGACAGACGAGTCAGGTTCTTTTGTCCGCTGCCAGATTGGTTTAAACTGAAAGCAAAAACGTGCAACTTGACCAATGATGCAGATTCGGATGCTGGGTTCGAAGTGCGGTACTTTGCTGTTGTGAGAGTTGGAGCTATTTGGGAAGACGTGTTGACATCACTGACAGAGGAAGAGTACTTGGGCTTGGAGTTTTTTTCATTACCCCACAGATTTCTTCTCGCTGCAGGTGCTTGAACTGTTCGGGTTGCAGGAGCCTGTGCGCATGGCTGAAGCCAAGAGTAGGAAGTTTCATAGAGATCCCACCGGATCATTGTCTGCAATCAGGTCTGACTTCAGTGTCAAGAATGCGACCGAGACCAAACCTTATGAGCCATACTTGCCAGGCAGAAATTTGATGACTGCAAAAGTAAAAAAAGGCTGGAGGTGGAGAGCAGTTCATGACAATAGCTTCCGTTTTGAACAGCTGGCGCATTCAAGAGCGTGGGTGGATTCCTGTGGTGGTCCCAATGGTGTTGCCCATCTTCAAGTTGCTTACTCTCCACTCTTGGGCTTGCATTCCTTGCCTTGGCAGATGGTTGGATTTGCTTGCTGTGTTGCCACCTTGTGTTCAATGCGCAGTCGGGTTTGCTGGCTCGAGCCCGCCAGACCCTGAGGACGGAAAGCTGTCAGTTGTACGGCTGCGTAGTCTGATGTGGCAAATTCAATCGTGGGCTTCAAAGATTTTGCCAGCTTGCAGTGATGAGGAGGAGGTTGTAGATCTCCGCTGTCAGCTGCACTCCGCGGTGAGGTGGATTTTTAACATAATCGGAAACCTTCCCAGAACTGATCGAGCAGCGGTGATTCACAACAAGCGCATTTATTCTTCAGTTTTCTTGGTTCGCAACATGCTCGCCACACGCCTCATTCCTTCCTATGTATCAATGAGGAGCTTGTGCAACGATATTCTGCCATTGCTTTTCCCCAACCTGTTGGAAAAGCCCTTGCAAGATTTGATGGCCTCGAAGCATTTGTTTCCTTCAGAAGGCTCAAAGCATGAAATCCGCTTGTTCATGGATGTAGCTTTGTTGTTGTGGAGAAGAGCTGAGGAAAGCGAGTTTGATTTCGTGCGTTTTGGAGGGGCAGATTCAAGCCCCCCAACATGGACACAATTGGCTGTTAAGTTCGGGGTTTTTGATCGACAAGAAGAATGTCGTGCATCTCTTTCATTGCGTTCAGCGGATGATCGATGAATCGGCCCTCAGAAAAGCTGAAGGCCATGTGGAACAATCTTCGCAAAGCCAGCGTGACCACCTCGACCGTCTTCAAATGTTGCGGCGAGAGCATGACATTCCAGCGGCCCTCGGAAACCGCGCTGAAAGCGTCGGGCATAAATGCGCAGCAATGTTGCCTAAATTTGCTTTGAGAGTGCCAGTCGATGGTCGCAAGGATATGCTTGAGAAGTTCACGAGCTCTTACTTCTCGTTTTGCGCCGATCTAGGCGTGGAAATCGGGATCGGAGAGTTCACTGTTGAAAACTTGCAGTCTCTCTTGCCCCACTGGCTTATCGGTAGCAATCTTGAAAGCGATGTCCCTGCAGAAGCAACTTGTTTGGATGCCAAGGATAAGGGCACACCAGCCGTCTTACCAGCGTCAATGGAATTAGAGCCTGACGTAGCTTTCCTGGATGTTTCTGAGGCCCGCTCTGTCGTCCCACCTGCACGGCCACCTCCGCAAGAGTCTGATGGAGCTTGCCTGGATGTTTGTGAGGCCCGCTCTGCCGTCCCACCTGAACTGCCACCGCCGCAAAATGGCGATAAGTTTTTGCCTAATGCGTTGATTGTGCCTGGGACTTTGCATATTATTCACAATTGTTTGGCTGAGGTTACCACTTCCTTCTCTCACTGGCAAACCTTTTTTCCCGCAATTGAAATTGTTCGAAGCTTTGTGGACTCACGGACGACTGCAACGCTTTGTGAACTATTGCTTAAGGCCTTCTGTTTTGAGAGATAAATGCGACGACGTATTGCGACAGAAACTTGGGTCCTTGTACGAGAGCCGCTGGGGTGAGGTTATTCGTTTCTGCATTCGGTTGAAGAGGGTGATGCCAGTCATTCGCGCTGTGTGGGACGAGCGCCGCTATTTGTATGGCATTGATAGCGTGCAAGGAGAGCATGGTGATGGCCATGGCCATGGCCAAGGTGGGCAAGACGCTTCAAGTTCTTTTGATCCTTCTCTCTTCACCAAAACTTTGGCAGATCCGTTCTTCTTTGCCTATTTTGACATGGTCCTGACTTTGGTTTCCATTACAGAAAGCTTGGGTCATTGGGCTGAAAGCTGCAGCTGCCATGAAGACCTGATTTTGTACGAAGATCATTCTGGTCCAACTGAAAGCTTCGGCCGCTCTAAGACTCACATGTTGCGTTCTGGGCGGGTACTGTCAGACTTGTATTCAAAAAAAGACGGATGTTTGTCCAATGCGAGGCAAACGCTTGCCAGAATTGGCGGCGTATGGCGCAGAGAAGATCTTGCTGTCGTTGGCTTCTTCTGGTGTTGGCGCGTTGTTTGTTTCGCATCGACACGTGCTTTCGCCTGAGCAATGGCAAAACGTGTTGTCGGACTTTGAGCTGGGAAAGGGCCAGGCAATCGTCCAATTTCGATTGAAATTTGACTGGAGCAATCGTCTCCCCTACAAAATGGCATTGCTGGCCTTTGGAGATCAAGCGCTACAGACGATGGTTGCTAAGTTTGACAGCCAGCCAGAGGGTTTGAAAAGGCGCCATCACAGCTTGACCATGAAAGTTTTGCTTGGCCCAATGCGGAGCCAACTTAATGCATGGTTGAATGGTTGCAGTTTGCTTGATCCCAGGCTTTCAGACCTGGCATATATAGCTGGTTGCTTTCGGTTTGTGCAAATCACGGAGCGTTCATTTGAGGCCGCTCACAGCATTGTCAAACGAAGAACACCGCCGAATGCAAGGGGGCATTGATTTCGCTGCAGTGCCGCCTGCTGGACATAACCTCTGAACTGAAGGTGATGCCTGAAAAGCTGCTGGCAATCGCCCGTGAGTTTGATGTCGCGCGAAAGGTAAAGGACATTCCTTTCCATTTGGGCGCAGCGCAGCGCCCATTGGTTTTACCTGTTTTGCATCAGCCAAAGAAGTTGATCAAAGTGCTCAATCAGGTGTTGTACCGGTCAGATGCTATCAGTCAGTTCCCTGACATTTCGCATGTAGAGGCTAGGCATGGCAAGTTGAAACAACGCATTGAAAGAGAAACCCAAAAGCTCGCAGGTGTGAAAGATCCGAAACTTGTTGTGACTTATGATACTTTGCGCGCACAGGCGCTCCATTCTCATTTCATGACAGTAGCGGAAGAAATGCCTGAGATGATGTTCTCACTGCCGCTTGCCGACGTGGAATCCGAGGGACAAGGGAAAGTTTTTTCAGGCCTTTGGCAGCGTTTTGAAAATGACAGAGGTTTGTGAGCAAACGGAAGGCCAAACCTTTGCAGGCGCATTGCTTCCAGATGTTGCAGTGGAGGCAGATTTTGAAGTTTCTTCAGAACGCTTACCACTTGAGGCAAGTCCAACCACAAGACGTTCCTATTTTCGTGTGTTGAACACTAAGCCCAGCAGCCGCCGGCTGTTGAAATTGTCACCAGGAGCAGCAGGGGTTGGTGGTCGGTTGCGCGCAGATGACATGGCAGTCTTTCTGTATTCAGAGCATGGAAACACAGATAGCTTGGAATCAGGGGACCAGGTTTCCATTGTGAAACGACGCGCCTCGACCCAAAGGGTCGCGGGGCGGCGCGTCGTAGCTGGACGCTACAACCCACCCCAAGACCACCCAAACCTGTAATCTATTAGGGTTTAGATTTTTTTATGAAAACCCTGGGCCGGGCGGGCAGAGCTGCGCTCATTTTTCAACTTGGGTTTGGATGTGGGTTTTTGGTTGGGGGTATTTTGGCGGTCGCCAATTACAGCAAGGACCATAGGATGAAAGCAGGGATCCATTTAGTTGCAATCAATTGAAATACAGACCACTGATGTCGCCCTAGGCTTTTGGTTGAGGGCAGTTTGGCAGTAGCCAATTGAAGCAGAAACATTTGGCTTGATTAAAGTCTACAGAAATTTGCAATCGAAGCAGAGATTACGGATATGATCGTAGGCATTTGGTTGGGCGCACTTTGGCAATAGCCATTCCAGTAATCTGCTCAAGCAAAACCGGGTGACTCCAGTAATCTGCCAAGGCAGGGCTGGGTT